GTGAAAAAACTGAGACTTGGGTAAGGTAAGGTGGCCCAGGACACACAGCTGATAGGTGACATGGGAGTGGAATCTGAGCTGGTTTCCACTCTTTCCAAGTCCTCTGGGCCCTAGCATCCACTTCCCAAGGTAAGGGAAGGGAAGTGACTATAGCAACGATGGAATGAAATAAAGTGCAGTGCATGACAGTATCGCTCTCTTCTCCACAACTCTTCCCCACTGCCACCAGCTCCACCATTGCTGACTCATGCTCCCTTTTATTTCCCAGGGGTGGTGTCTCCTTTACTGCCTTGGGAAAAAGAAAAAAACAAATTAACTGAAAGAAATGCATCTGCCCAGGCCTGCCACCTTCCACTGGGATATTTCTGGTTCCTTTCGTCTTTACTTTGCCTCTGCCCTCATGGTCCTACCCCGGGCTGACCCTCCTCTGCGGGTTCACTTTCATAGCTTCCTGACACATTTCTTGCCTTCCATACTCTCATTGGCTCTAGGCTGCAGGCTGCTTGATGGCAGAGGGCCTGGTTTCAGTGTCTCTCCCCAGTGCATTCCCCAGTAGTGCTCAGGAAGTCAGCTCAATTGACTCCTCCACATTGCAGGTGGATGATGGCTGTAGGTGCATCTCAGCACCACCTCCTGAAAAGCTCTTCTAATGGTTGCCTGGAGCACTGAGCTCAGTAGCACAGAATTCTAGGATTGACTACTAATGTCTGCTACTGGAGCAGAATAAGAGGATGGGAAATTCAGCCTGTTTGCTGGTCCTAGAATAGAGGATCAGAATACTGGGAGGAAAAGATTGGGTTAGAGAGGATTTTCCTTATAAATCATAAGTCCTCTGAACTGATTCACTGTAAAACAAATAAACATCAAGATACATTTAGAGGGTCATAATAAACAGTGGAAAATGGGTCATTAAGATTGGTTACAGAGATGTTTCAGTGTTTAATCTTTTGGGGCAGTGGTATGGTCTGGTTGTGTGACCCCACCTAAATCTCATCTTGAATTGTAATCCAAATTGTAATCTCCATGTGTTGGGGAAGGGAACTCATGGGAGGTGATTAGATCATGGTGGCAGTCCCCCCATGCTGTCCTCATGATAGTGAGTTCTCATGAGATCTGATGGTTTTCTAAGGGGTTTTTCCCCACTTCACTCAGCACTTATCTCTCCTGCTGCTCTGTGAAGAGGTGCCCTTCGCCATGATTGTAAGTTTCCTAAGGCCTCCCCAGCCATGTGGATCTGTAAGTCAATTAAGCCTCCTTCCTTTATAAATTACCCAGTCTTGGGTATTTATTCATAGAAGCATGAAAGGGATGCTTACATTGTAACAAGATGGAGGCCCCTTTGCTGGCCAGAATTACTTTTCCAATGAACTCTGGCTTTGAGGAGGTGCTGATAGTTGCTCAGTTTGGTGCATCCAGTTACACTGTTGCTCACCACTCAGTCTGTGGCATTGAAAGCCTCACACCCCATTATATCCTGACTTCCATCTCTGCTACTGCTCAGCTTGACCAAGTCCCAGGCTAGCCTCAGGTTGCTTATCTGTGAAATAGGAGTAATAATTCTCTACTTGCAGCACTGTTGGCCAGATTTTCTGAGGTAAGGAAGGAGACATGTTTCATGAGCTTCAAAGAGCCACATACCTGTCAGGACCCATTTATGAACTGGGCAGCAACTGAACGATGTCATCATGAGGTAGGAGCCCCACAGGACTTATTGTTAAAACTGCAACTACTTTTACACCAACCTGATAATATTTCCCAGTCTCTGATGAAGTGAAAAAATCAGCAGGAACCAGCAGATGGTGCTGAAGGCAACCTCTATTTGTCCTCACTGCTCATCAGCATAAGGTACTCCCACCAGCACCATGATAGGTTACAAATGACATGTCAGTAACCCAGAAGTTACCACCCCTTTCCATGGTGACAACCTGGAAATTACTGCCCCTTTCCTAGAAAGTTCTAAATAACCCACCTCTCAATTTGCATTAACCTGCCCCTTAATTTGCATGTAATTGAAGTTGGTACACCTGACTACAAAGAGAGTTGCCAACAACCCATGGGTTGCTGACTGTGGGTACACTGCAATGAGTTAGCCCTGATCACAAGGAGGAGTTCCACTCAATAAAATATTGCTAACACCACTGGCTCACCCTTGAATTCTCTCCTGGGTGCAGTCAACAACCCTCCTAGGCTAAGCCCCAATTTGGGAGCTGCCTGTCTTGTATCAATCACATCTCCCTATGAGAAGCATAATTGTGAGTGTTTTGTTGCTGGTTTGTTTTTGTCTTTGTTTCTTCAACCCTCATAGCCCCACGTTTCTCTCATTTTATTGTCTCATATTTTTACTAGGTAATGACAGCCTTGGTTGGGTTGACTTTTCTAGAAATGATATTGCAGCAAGAGTTGTGGGTTTTTGGAGTTTTCCTCTGTGCTCCCCTGTCTGGTCTGTGCCCCTGCCTCCTGCTCCTGAGCCAGAGGAAGCTCCAACAGCAGCTGCCCCACCTGGGATTCCTTTCACTGTGTCTTGATCTGAAGAGAGGACCCTTAGCTCTCACTACATTCCTCAAGGAGATGCTCACCCCAAAATGGAGAATAATACCTAGCCAATTCCAAATATTCGGGGGAACTGAGGACCAGCAAGGTCTGTGGTGGTGCAACGCTAAGTAAGGCAGGATGGGATCACAGTTGCGTGAGGCTGAGATGGCTTACTCCCCTCTCTCCACCTACATGTCATAGGGCCAGGTTGCTGCCATTTGCTGGGATAATGGCAGGTGGGAAAACAGAAGCAGAAGGTGAAAAAGGGAGTGACAGGAGGTAGCCAAAGCGAGCCAGAGAATGGCTGCCCAGAGAGGGGAGCAGAGCATGGCAGGTCCCCTCTGGGAAGGAGGCATTTGAACAGAGACCGCTGAAGCCAACCAGTATCTCTAGAAAGGGTGTGATCTTCAGAGTCTACAGAACAAGGTCAGAATCTCAGCTCTGTTTCTAAACAGCCAGTGACAGTTCAAGTCACTCAGATCTCTGAGCCTCAGATTTCTCACTTATATGTGGGGACACCTACCCCACAGGGCTGTGGTAAATGCAATAATCTACAAAATCTGCAATAATCTACGTAATCCACAATAATCTGCCTGGCCCATAGTAGGTGCTCAATTGATGCTCCTCTGCTTGTGTCATACCTATAAGTTGCATTGAAAGCAAACAGAATCTAGAATAAGAGTGATGGAAGTCCTCTATCCTCTACCTGCTTCTGACCCTGCCTGGAGCAGAGTCCCAAAATAAGTACTCCCTCCTGCAGGCAGAGACAATGGGAATGTGGCTGGAGAATATAGACAGGGATGATAAGGGCTCTCTGGGATTGTGTCCTGAAACCCATCTAAGGAACAGATGGCATATACATAGACAAAAGATAGTACAGGGACAAGCTGAGGTGCTTTGTGAGATACCTGAAGGCCGGTCAACCATGCATCCATTCGGCCCTCGTTAAGTGCTTCTGTGTGCCAGCCGCATGCAGTGCTCTGGGAACACTATGCCAGACATAGCGCTCACTCTGAAGGAACTCAGACTTTGTGGCCAACATTTGGGAAGGAGTAGGCTGTGCCACTCTATGCACTCCAATGTCTAATGGCTTCCTGTTCCGATTAAGATGATGTCCAGAGTTCTTAATACTGTCCAGGATCCATGGAATGGTCAGCCTCTAAATACTTTCCTGTTTCACTTTCTACCATGTCCCCTTCACTTACTCCACTCCAGCCCCCACTCCAGAAACCCCACTTTCTTTCTGTTCCCACGTGCTAAACTCAGTCTACCCCATGGCCTTTGCACATCCTATTTCTCCTTCAAGGGGAACTCTTCCAGGCTGGTCCTCCTTGTCACACAAGTCTCTGCTCCAGTATGACCTCCTCAGGGACTCTCCATGACACCCTATGGAAGGAGCTTTGCCCATTCTCTGCCCAGAGTCACCCCATATCACATTGTCCCATTTAGTTCCCTCAAAGCAATGATCGTCACACAAAATCACGTGTCCATTTACCTGTTTGCTCATTTGCTGTCTTCCCCACTAGCATGTAACCTTCATGAAGGCAGGGACCTGCCTATGTGGGAGCCTCAGGGTCTCTAAAGCAAAGCATGCAAGATGATCTATTGCGGGATAGGAAGTAAATATTAGAACTTTGTTTAACTTTTACTATTCTAATAAAAAGAGAGACATTAATCTCTACTAATACGTAATAAATAGGTTGAGTCTGGGTCCCTCACTTGGTTCACAGGTCACTCAGGCACCTGCCATGTGCAGGATCTGAGGTATGCTGATGGGAGAGTGAGAGCCCTGTGGTTGGCAGTGAGGGTGGGAAGCAGGATTGTCCTCAGTCCTTAGTTCAACTTCCAACTATTGGCTCTCATTGCAGTTTCTATGTGCCGAGTAAGTGTATTTACCAAATACATAGAATCTATTACTAGGGGTTAACTAAACTAACCCTCACAATGGACAACCCATGTAAAGAGATTCCTCCATCACCTGGGTGGATGTCTTCTGCCGTCTGCGCAAAGGCTAGCATGCACTTCCTGTGTGGGCTCCCACCCCTGGTTCCGGGCCCTCATCAGCCACATCAGTTCTGATGGCCAAGCCATATCTGACAAGGAGTCAGCTAAAGCGCACTACAGACCGCAAAGACAACTGAGAAGTCATATTTATAGCTATGATCAGTAACTCCGCCTGGTTTTGACTGGGAGACACTGCTTGTTACCTCTCCAATGGACATTTTCCCGCTTTTTTTTTTTTTTTTTAACAGAACTCTGGTTTTATATAGGGTAGCCATGTGCCCAGCAAAAAAGCAACATTTCCCAACTTCCCTTGCTACTAAGGGTGATCATGTAACAAATATGGCTAAAGAGAAATAATAGGACATCTCTTAAGGATTTTTGAAAAAGCTTTTTCTTTTTTTTTTCTCACGTAGGCAATGCCCTTCCTCCTCATGGCTTCCTCCTTCTCCCCTTCTGGAATATAGATGTGATGACTGGCGGTGTGGCAGTTGTCTTGTGCTCCTGAGAGAATGGACAAGACAGTAATAAAGACTCATCTGTGACATCTTCAAGCTGCTGAAACAATACTGGAATATTGGAACTGTTGTCCTTCTGCTAGGTGAGAAAGCACAACCCCTTAATTTGTTTAAGCGATTGTTTGGTCAGGTTTTGTGTCCCTTGTGGCTGAACACAATTCTAAAAGATTCACTCTTTAGCAAATGTGGTTGTATGAAATATTAGTTATAGTAGTGTGGAACCATCACAATTAGCCAGCTATTTAAGAACTAAGCTTGACTGGGCATGGTGGCTCAAGCCTGTAAACACAGCACTTTGGGAGGCCCAGGCAGGCAGATCACTGGAGGTCAGGTGTTCGAGACCAGCCTGGCCAATAAGGTGAAACCCTGTCTCTACTAAAAATACAAAAATTAGCCGGGCATGCTGGTGCATGCCTGTAATCCCAGCTACTTGGGAGGCTGGGGCAGAAGAATTGCTTGAACCTGGGAAGTGGAGTTTGCAGTGAGCTGAGATCATATCACCGCACTCCAGCCTGGGCAACAGAGCTAGACGCCATCTCCAAAAAAACAAAACAAAAAGAAAAATTAGAACTAAGCTCAACATCTGTAAGTTTTTTTCAGTAGTGTCTAAAATCATGTGTTATTCAATTTGGTATGTTAGAAAATCGTATCAATTTTAATAACACATTAAATATCTCTTTAAGCATTTTTATTAAAATGTAATACACATAAGGAAACAAGCACATAAGTATAGAGCTCCTTAATTATTCATAAACCAAATGCATCCAAGCAGACAAGACCCAGATCAGGAAAGAGAATGTGACCAGCTTCCTGGGAGAAACCTCTTTTGAGATTTGATGCTTCATTGTGAAAACAAAAAAGCCATACCCTGTTGGTCATAGAAAAATGACTGAAATAGTCTGTGAAAAATAATAGCATGCTAAAATAAACTTATTTGTCAGCAAATACAGTTTAATGATGCAGAGAAAACATTGTTAAAGAATCAAAGCAAATATTGCTGGAACGAATTTCTCATATGGGCTGTTTGCTGTATGGTTGGGTAACAGCACTGATGAATCTAATATGTCTCAATTAGGATGCTTGCTAGAGGCTTTGATTCTGTTTCAGCTTTGAATTATACTTAACTGTTATTTTTCCATGAAACCCTAAAAGAAAGTTGTACTGGAGAGTATGTATTTTTCAACACTGTATTATTTCTAAAGTCAAAATAATATTTTTATGGAAAAATGTGCAGGTACAGACACAGTATTTGTTTAGACTAGAATATACAAAGAATTCTGGGGTGTGGTTCTAGAAATAAAACTGTATACGAAATTCTTTCTTTATATTTGCTGTAAGCAAGCTACAAGATATTATCAATGTGTTAAATTTTATAAAGAGAGGTCTTTAAAATTAAATCTTTAGAATTCTTTATAAAAAGATGAAGAGTGATTTTAAATGTCCTGATTTTATGAAAAGAATATCACAAAATGGAATCCTTACAAGAGGAGGAATCATGTGGAAAGCCCTGATACCACACAGAAATTTTCTGCTTATCTTGTGCAAGATAATTGCCAAGTGTGGTCCTTAAAAATGAGTTGCATATTTTTTCTTTCACATAACAAATATTTTAAATTTGTTAACTTTTTTTTTCAATTTGAAATGCATCCCATTTCAAAGTGTATTTATTCCCCCCTCCCCAAATTTCCTGTCTCTCTGATATAAAAGATAGGCTTTTATTATGAAATTAGAAAGTAAAATTTTTCAAAAGACATTTAAAAAAAAAAAAAAAAAAACCAGCCTCAGGCTTGGCAGAATTTTTTAAAAGCAAAAAAGTTTTGAAATCTTTTAATCTACTAAAAAATTTTTGCAAGCAAAGTGTTTTAGTGAATTTGAACCTGGGGTAGACTGTTGTGTTTGCTGCTCCTCCTTGGGAAAAGATTATACATTGACCTTGCACAGTGAAATAAGTGCAGAAGTGATGTGATTACTTCTGGAAGTAGGCTTCACGAGCCATGCATGGCTCACCATGCTTTTCTCACCACTGCTACTAGCCACTACAGTTGGTGATATTTGGGAAAGATTTTGGGTTCCAGAGGGAAGATTATGTGGACCAGCAGCCAATCTGTGACTGACCTGTGGCATGAGCAAGAATGAACTGTTGTTGCTTTAAGACCCTGAAATTTGGGGCCATTTGTTATTGCAGCATAGTCTTATCTTTCCTGACTGATACATGACTTGTTGGTTAAAAACATAAAAATACACCAGTTGCCAATTTGTTGATAAATGCAAGCTGATTAAACTCCAAAAAGTTTAAAAAATAGAATCTCCAAATTAACAACAAAATCCTTTGCCTAGTCAGTGGGTCTCTTATCTTACTATTGGCAGTTGTTTCCTAGTCTGCCTGTCGTACTAGCCTGGGAGATCCTTGAGGGCAAAGATATGTCTCTTTAATCTTTGCAGTTCCAGAGTTTACCCCAGATATGGTACAAGTAGTTACTAAATTAAATGTTTACTGAGTAAATGTGTATGTGTAGAGCCTACTTCATCTTAGATCAGCTGTCTTCATTCTTCATAATTCAGTTTATTATATCTGGTATTTGCAAAGCCTTCATTCCAGGAAGTGGTGGGAAAATGGGTGTGGATAGGTAGAGTCAGGGAATCTGGATTGATGGCTGGCTACAACATTTATTCACTGTGGCTGTGTGATTTTCAATGCATGGTCTAACCTATCTTACTCTCCTCAACTGTGAAATGGGTGAATGTTCATCTCACAGGGTTATTGAGGGGGATTGAATTAGATAACATTATCAGAGGACTTTGTGACTTCCTATATGATGTTATAATTTTATCATCTCTTAAGTACTGTTGGGAGCACACTGGTTGCTTTGCATCTGTTTCTGTTACTGAAACTGGTCTATTTGAAGGCTCTGGAAAAAAGGTCAGGAACTGGGATAGAAGGTTGTATCACGAACAAAATAAAAGAAACAAATACTTCCCTTGTGTTCCTATTTAGCTGAGTGGTGTCATTAAACTTAGTACATGCACCTCTCCATTTCTCCCACAAAGCTCCTGATCCCTGATCTTTCCAGAGGTGGAATTGTCAAATGCTGCTGGGAGTGCATGCTGGTCCCTTTGGAAATCAATAGTACTGCCCTTCCCCAGCGTGCCACTGAGCATGTTTTCCCAGGCCCTGCCCTTCAAAGCCTTTCCCACTCCACATCCCCTCTACAGGCCCACCCTACTTTGCAAAGCAGTTCTTTCCCAGGGCTGAGTCACAGGGTGAGGAGGAGAGGCCTGTGGCTCAAAATTTGGTACCTGAAGCTATTTTTTTACTCTGGCTTAGGAAAAAATTTAATCCTTTAATCTTTGCCAGTGTAGCAAAGAATGCAAATCCTTTAAAAATCATACATGCAAATGCAGCAGGAGAATAGGGTCTGGAGGCAGGGAACCTAAGGCCAATTTGTAGGCACTAACTTCCTAGAACTGAATCAAAATGAAAACCCCAACTTTCCACGCATAAGTAACAAAAGAATCAGAGGCTACTCCCTTTGCAATCCCCGCTCTGCTCTTTTTCTGAAAAATGTAAAGTATCTCTGATTGATCCTCTCTCACAACCAATCAGACTGGCCACAGGCCTAGTGTTCATTTGCATAGCACTATAGCTTTGTAACTCCACTTCAGCCTTTGATTGGTTCCCTCCTGCAACCAATCAGATTTTTGCATAAAGTGTAACTTTGTAACCTCACTTCAGCCTCTGATTGGTCACCTTCTGCAATTAATCAGACTGGTTGTGGGTCATTACTTCATTTACATGGGGTGTTAATCAAGTAACCAACCAGAAACCTCTAGAGGGTATTCAAACCCCAGAAAATTCTGTAACCAGCACTGTTGCGCTGCTTGCTTGAGCCTGTTCCCATTCTGTGGAGTGTACTTTTGTTTCAGTAAATCTGTGCTTTTGGTGCTTCATTCTTTGGTTCCTTTGTTTGTGCATTTTGTCCAATTCTTTGTTTAAAACACCAAGAACATGGACAACTCATACTCAAGACCCTCCACCAGTAACACAAACAGCTACTCCATGAACAGCCTCAAAGGAGACAGTGGAGAATACAGACAGTGCAGAGTAGGAGAAGCCTGAGTTTGAATTTCGGTTTTGTGTTTTATAAGTGGCGTGACCTTAAGCAAGTTGCTTAACCTCTGAGCCTCAATGTCCTTCTCCATAAAAGGGGTAAAAATCACCCACTTGGGGATGAGAATTAAATAAGGTAACTCCAGTATTATCACATTTTTCTGCTTTGCTGCATTTCTGTCTTTGCTGGCCAATTCCCTCCTTCAATTATTCATTTTTGTGAAATTTCACAGGGGTTTGTAATTGGAGGACAAGGAAGCAACATACCTACACACTTTACTGTCTGTGTCTGACCCAAACCACAGATGCAAATGAACCAATCGCCAACAGACATTGAAAGAAGTAATATGATTGGCCACTAATCATGATGCACTTCTATTATTTACTGAATAGCTAGTGAAGAAGTTTGCTCTTTGGGAAGTTATTCACAGCTCCCAATTCACAGCATTTGGAGTTGGCCTGTGGGAAAAGCTTTCTTTCTATATATATACCTTCCTTACAACTAGGGAAAGATAATGGTTGCCTTATATTTGAATCCTAATAAATTCTCATAGTTTGGACTCTTTCTCAAATAGTTTATTTTGAACAGCAAAGTTCTAAATAGGGAAGATACATAAGCCTTAAACCAACTCCATCAGTGCTAGTCAGTGATGCTTATAGAGATCATATAAGAGAACTTCAGAAAAGGAGACCAGAAGGCTACATAGATTAGGTGTTAATTTCTTATAGTTCTAGCCCTGTAACTCAAAGTCCTGGATTTTGCTATATGCAAACCTTTTAAATAACATTATTTGATAAAATATGTAATTTTAATTATATGGATAATTAACTAAATGAAACGTGTGACTTTTGTGTTCATTTCTAAAAGGTTATGTTTTTGTGTTGCCATCCCTAAAATTTATATTTTTTAATTGGTAAAATTGAGCATATACTGTATTTTTCAACTTAAAAGGTATTGGAGGATATTAAAGCCAT